TTTTTCCTCTTGGTCATAGTTCTGTCTTCTGGGGACACACAGATCAAATCTCATCCGTTAGGGTTGAGAACCTGGGGAAATGAGCCAGTTCAGACCATAGACAGAGTCAGAGGCTAACTATGGTGGTGTGATGTAAGCGAAGGTAGTAAGACCCCCTTCCTAGCATGGAACTCTGTGCAGAATATGTACTCTATATGTGAATGGGGTGATAAGGGAGGACTAGTGCCTCTGGTGTGAGGGCTTGCTAAACCCTTTTCAGGGCTGATCATCCACCTTTGATGTCCACCTTTACCCAACTTTCACCTCTGGCTCCAAGAAGCTGTAGCATACACAGTGGCCACACCCGGGATAAACCTTTTCAGCAGATGGACTAAACCAGGTTGAGGGTAAACAATAGGTCTCAGACCCTTCAGTGAGTTAGAGGAGTGTCTACTCCAAGCACATGAAGATGTCCCCCAGCGGAATGGGTTGATGAGAACAATTTGTTCCAATGGCCACAGAGGCAGCTGAAGCAGGGGCTGTGGAGTGCTTATAGCTTGGTTAGACATCAAAGATCCCAAGATCATGCACTACATCCTTGGCCATTGCCAGTTGTCTTGACTTTTGTCCTGCCACTGGACTTTGATGACTCAGGAAGAGAAAGCAAGGCTGATGATTTTGTGCAATTCATTGCCATAAATTCAATTCATGCCCAAGGCAAGACATCACCTGTGATGTCATTGGTTCTCTTTGAAAATGAAGGAGGAATAACTCAATGTGTATTGATTCTGCCCCAAAGTATTCCCCAATACCACCCCAGCCTATCACAGTGCCTGTCAATCATAAAATGGATTAGCATCAGGGCCAAAATTTGAAACCAGGTTTTCTGACTCCCAGCCCAATCCTCCTATGGTCCCCCCTGCACTGTGAATCTGTGAGGCTATGATATTTACACAAACAGCTAAAAGCAAGGCAGAGTGTGCTAAGTGTTAGGAGAGGGAGGTATGAGTATTTTAGAGGAGAGATGAGCCACTTCTGGAATATATATCTGTATTTAAGGTACCAACACAGAAAACAGTGATATGCAATACTACTCAATAAGCAGCTATGTGGCCCAGTGGATAGAGTGCCGAACCTGAAGTCAGGAACACCCATCTTCCTGAGCTCAAATCTGGCCTCAGACACTTACTAGCTGTGTGACTCTGGGCAAGTCATTTAACCAATCCTGTCTGCCTCAGTTTCCTCAACTGTAAAATGAGCTAGAGAAGGAAATGGAAAACTACTCTAGTATCTTTGTCAAGAAAAACTGCAAATGGGGTCATGAAGAGTCAGGACAACTGAAAAACAACTCAACAACAACACTCAAAAAACACATAAGAGAGAGGCACAATTTTATATGAGGTCTAATGGGAGAAGGATATTATGAAAAGAGGGCTCCCAGAAGGCTTCAAGGTAGAGGTGACATGTTTGTGACTTTAAAAGGATGGGTGAGAATTCACCACATTAAGGTGGAGATGTCATTCCAGGGTAGGAAATAGCACGAGTATAGGCATAAAGAAGAGAGAGCAAAGAGCACGTTTGGGACAGGGAAAAATACAATTCAATGGGATGATAGTTGGTGAAGGTGAGTAATGTGAGATGAAGTTAGAAAAGATCATGGTGGGGGGGGCAGCTAAGTGGTACAGCGGATAGAGTACTGGCCCTGGAGTCAGGAGGACCTGAGTTCAGATTCGGCCTCAGACCGATAACACCATCTAGCGGCATGACTCTGGGCAAGTCACTTAACCCAATTGCCTCACCAAAAAACAAATAAACAAAAGATTACAGGATAATAGAACTGGAGCTAGAAGAGCCTTTGAAGTAAGCAAAATAACTCAGTGGACGGTGCTAGGCTTGGAATCAGGAAGACATGAGTTTGAATGTAGCCTCAGACAATTACTAGCTGTATGATCCTGGGCAAGTCACTTAACTTCTGTTTGCCTTATTTCTTTCAACTGTAAAATGGGGATAATAATAGCACCTACCTCAAAGGATTGTTGTGAGGATCAAATGAGATAATATTTGTTAAGTGCTTAGCACAGTTCCTGGCACATAGTAGTTGCTATGCAAATGCTGCTATTACTAGTACTACTAGTACTAGTTTTTTTAAAGGTGAGGAAATTGAAGCCCAGAGAATTCAAATAACTTGTCCAAAGTCACACAGGCCTTGTGGTAGAGCTGGGAATGCAACTCAGGTTCTGTGACCAGGTTCATTGTGGTGCCAGATGATCGAGTGCATTGAATAATGTGATTAGGAATTTGAACCTTACTTGATAGGATATAGGAAGTCACTGAATATTTTTGAGCAGAATAGTGATGTAGCTAAACTCATGAATAAGAAAGATTTCTGAGCTTCCTCATTTGGTAGCTAGTTCTCTATCAATGGGAGTGTCCAAGGAGAGGTTTGAGGATGAACCCTTGCCAGAGATGCTGCAGGTGGGGCAGAAGAGGTTCTGGGCATTAGCTGAGAAGCATACTTTAGAGGGTCAGGGATAGGGATATTACTTGCCATGAGTTTAGGCTCAGAGTGATCTGTGGCAGAGGCTGAAATCTACCCTGCTTTGGAAAGGGGAAAGACAATGTCCAGGAGATTTGGACCTAGAATTTTGTACAATAAGCCAGACTTGGAAACCAGGGACACTTGGCTGAGCTGAAGGCCCAGAGGTGGAGAGTGGGTATCTAAATCAGAAGGATCAGTATTAGGTTCAAAAGCAGAAGCTGAGGAGATTGAATGAAGAGATATGGGATTGCAAGATTTAGAACTAGAATGGACCCTGGAGGTCCTTTAGCCAAAGCCTTTTCATTTTGTAGATGGGGAACACGGGGACCAGAGATGGGAAAATGACGTGTTGAGGATCACACATGTAGTAAGCTTCAGAGATGGAATTTGAACCCAAGCCTTCTGGCTCTAAGGCCAGCTTCTCTCTAATACACCACACCACCTCCAGTGCCACATCACAGGGTTCAGTCCTGAGATTAAACAGCAATTGGAGTTTCCCAAAGAGTTTCTGAAATTAACATTGAGCTGTCAACATTGAGTACCACCATCTTTTAATGTTTGTGTGGCAAATCTGCCTTCCAAGCCCCTCCAGTCTGATGTAGCTGGACATCTGTCATCTGCAGCCTCCACCAGAGATTACTCACCATGGATAAGATCATCCCTCTTTCTTTAATTAGCAGTGAATAGAAGGTTGGGCTACATCAGTGGTGTCAAACCCATATGAAAATGGGAATACTAAACTATATATAATAATTCCTGTGGGTTGCATATTGACTTAATTTTAAAATGTAATGTTATCTATGTTTTGTTGCATTTTTACTCATTTTATTAAGTATTTCGCAATTCCATTTTAATCTTGTTCAGGAGCATTGGGGAGTGTTGCTAGTCAGGTGTTCCACAGACCAAACGTTTGACACCTCTGGGCTACATGACCTCTAAAGTCTCTCTGATTCATTTCTTTTTATTTATTTATAATGGGGTTAAGTGACTTGCCCATGGTCACATAGCTAGTTAAGTGTCAAGTGGCTGAGGCTGGATTTGAACTCAGGTCCTCCTGACTCCAGGGCTGATGCTCTATCCACTGCACCACTTAGCTGCCCTTCTCAGATTCATTTCAAATCACCAGATGTATGAAGTACCAATTATGTGCTATGCACAGTGCTGGGTGCTGGGGCTATAGAGATGAAAAATAATACCATATCTGACCTCAAGAAGTTAATTAAAAGGATAAAGACATGCACACAAATCACAAATGAGACAAAGGAGAGTTGGATAAGTCAAACTCATCTTGGGGATAAGGGTCATAGTGGGGGTTGAGGAATCCAGACAAAATGCCCTGAGATTTCTAGTGTCTTTTGGTCACCTATTTCAGAGTCTCACAGTATTCTAGAATTCAGCCACCCAGTAAGTCAACTGGCATTTAGTAACTGCCTACTATGTGCCAGGAATGGCACTAAGTGTGTATGCACACATATATACATGTCCCTGCTCTTAGGGAGTTCACAGTCTCCATTTCTTTAAATCTAAGTTTCTCCCATGCCAAGTTCAGCTAATTTTCTCTCCCCTCCTCCTTCCTCAGGGATGGAGTCATACTCTTTCAGACACCCCTGCACAGATCTCAGACAGCTTGGTTACCCAGGTTCTTACGAACCTGATGCTAAGTTACTCAGGGTCATTGGGTTCAGAGAGAGAAGGAACCCTTTCACTCTACAGAAGAGGGAACTGGAACATAGCAAGATGAAGGGACAATCCTGGTCTTCCATGGATAGTAGGATAAAATTCAAACCAGGGCACAAGATTATGGTAGCATAGATTGCGAGTTGGAGGGGACCTTAGGAGCCATCTTGTCCAACTCTATCAGTTTACAGATGAGAAAACTGAAAGTTCGGGGAAATTAGATGACTTGCTTAGTGACCTTTGTAATAAACCACAGTCATATGATAGCACAGTTAGACATGTAGTCTAAACTCTTAATTTGCCAAAGGAGAAACTTTGAGGCTCCAGGGAGCGTGGAAAGACTTGTCCAAGCTTACATAGGTACTAAGAAACAGAGCTGGAACTTGGACCCAGGCCTTTTGATATCTAATATGGTATCCTTCCATACTATTTCTTTCTTTCTTTCTTTCTTTCTTTCTTTCTTTCTTTCTTTCTTTCTTTCTTTCTTTCTTTCTTTCTTTCTTTCTTTCTTTCTTTCTTTCTTTCTTTCTTTCTTTCTCTCTCTCTCT